CTAACACTTCTAGATCATGTCTCCCCGTTTCTATCCCCATCTGGGATATACACCTGAGTCAGTCGCGAGCTATAATGGACGCCAGTCCATCGCCGTTTCCAGAGCCAATTTTAGAGGCGCCGTGGCTTGGCTGGCTTCGCTCCATTCCCCCGTCGCCCACCGCCCACACTGGTCGGTCCTCGTAGTTCTGCAGCATCATGTCGCGTCTGTTGTGGCTGCTCGCAGCCTTTTCTCCTCTTGCTTCAGCCACCTGCTCGTCTTGTGACGTGCCCACAGCTTCAGCCTTAACTTTCTGCTCGTCCTTCATCACGTACTCGGCCTGTCGCTCCGGAGGCTCATGGACTGACATGGTAAGTAAGAAAACGCTGCATAACTATTTTACTTACAGCACATTTTCTTATTTATAACAATTAAAATATTTTCAGGATGCTACTGCCGAGGAGCAGTACGAGAAGATCGTTAATGACTCGACCATAAGCAGCAGCTGCGAGACGGCTTTGAAGCGGACCCAGTGCATGGCAGTCTTCAATGTGTGCGAGATGGGGACCCCTGAGACTTTATGTCTGGATAGCTGTACGGAGGCTATCGAGACGTACTGCATCGCCACTTCATCAACCTTAACACCCTTAGCCTGTGGAGACGATGACAGTCCCGTAACAGGCATCAGTGACGAAGCAAAGTGCTTCGATACGGACTATGACGGCCCCGAAAAAGCCATTTGGGTCATTGGGTTCACTATCGCTGTGGTATTTTCATTCCTGGCCAGTGTCGGTATCAATTTGCAAAAGAAAGCTTTGAAGCAGAACGAACTGATGGCTGAGCCCAAGCCGGCGTATCGATTGCCGCTGTGGATGTTAGGCTTTATCCTGTGTGTGGTGGGGTCAGTACTGGACTTTGTGGCATTCGGCCTTGCACCTCAGAGCTTATTGGCTCCGTTAGCAGCTCTCACTCTTGTGTGGAATATGATGCTCGCTCCATGTTTCAACAAGGAGAAATTGAGCAGGAAAGATATCGTCTCGACGTTGGTAATTTTTGTGGGTGCTACAATCGCCGTCGTCTTTGCGTCACACACGTCGCCGTCCTACAACTTGGACATGCTCATGCAACTTTACAGAGATCCACTCACTATCGTCTACTTCTGTGTCGTGTTCTTGACTATCGTTGCTCATTATGCAGCTATAAAAATCGTCGATATGTTTTGCTTAATGAGCAAACGACATCGAATTATTCAAGTGGGGACACCAGCCATGTGGTCAACAATCCGTCTCGTCGGGTATGCTGGTCTCGCAGGAACGTTAGGCGGTCAGTCGGTTCTATTTGCCAAATCGACCGCAGAGCTGCTCAAGGGCGTTTTTAACGGAGATGCCAGTTGCTTCGTGCATTATCAGACGTATCTCATTGCGCTGGCGCTGGCAGTGTGTCTGGTTCTTCAGATCAAATATCTAAATGGAGGACTCGTCCACTACGACGCACTGTCGATGGTTCCAGTGTATCAGGCCTATTGGGTCATTAGCGGAGTGCTCGGTGGCGTCATTTATTTCCAAGAGATCCGCACGTTTTCAGTCTTACAGGCTGTCATGTTCGTACTGGGAATCGGTATCAGTATCTTCGGTGTTGTGCTTCTATCACGTCGTAAACACGCACCGTCCACGGTATCTACCAAGGGCAAAGTGGAACGAGGTTTCAGCTTCACAGCCTCGTCGGATACGAAACTAGAACCTCCTAAAAGCTCAGATTCACGCTTAACTCGCGTTCCAGAAGGCGCATCTACGGATGCTGTTGAGGTGGAGGAGACTGAAACATCCAGATCTGATAGTACGAGTACCGGTCGAGAGTTGCTCTCATCCATTCTGGAAGCGCTAAACGAAGAAAGTGCAACGGAAGAATCGGACGACGACAGCAACGGCCGACGTAGTGAAAATGAGTCGTCGGGGCATGTGAATCGCCAGGCAATCGACAACTATCTGGATATGTACACGACTGTGGGGCTATCGGAGATTCTAGGTGGTCTTGGGTTCCCTCGATCGCAGGATAGTGGGCTGCTTGGTCGACGCATGTCGAGTCGGTGAGTACTTGCGGTTTGATACATGTTGAACGTGTTTTAAACCTTTTTTTTTTTTTTAATGATTTAACAGACACTCACGACGACGTACACGACGCAGTGTGGACGACATTGAAGTGGGATTACCAGCAGCTACACGCGAAGCCATCCCACGTAATCCACTGCCCAAGCGCCGTTCGATCACGTTCTCAAGTTTTAGCAGATCTTCATCAACCAAGAAACATGAAGACAAGAAAGATGATAGCAAGGATTTGGTTTAAAGCCTCCTGCTTCAAAGCTAAAACACTCTAGATTATTCACAATAGTTGGTTATTTGACGTATCGTGGATCGTGACAAGGCTCGATATCTTTCGTGGCTTATGTGCTCGAGTCGGATTCGGAACTCCTCGACGTATTTGGTCGTGGTCACTAGTGCCTTGGTCACTGTGTTGAGCATCTTGCTTTAACTCGTTCACCGCTCGTAACAAGGCTTCATTCTGCAACGCTAACTGTAACACCATTCCTTCTAGCAGGCTTGTGCTGTCTCTTGATGAGCTAAGACCTTGTTGGCGCTTGCGTGAACTCACCTGCGGACTGGAATATGCCGAGTCTTGAGCGTAGTGCTTATCACGTCTAATTGAAGAATTACCTCGATACTGTTCATCACTATCATCTTCCTGAGGCATCTCTCGAAGCGTGTTAGAAGGCAGTACCATACTCTGCTTTACTGTCTTCTTTCTTCTCAATTTACGTGGTACAAGGCTGATTAACTTCGCAGCCAATACACGATGGTATACACCAATCTCACGTCCTAGATCGAGGTGCATTGGTGCAGTGCCAATGCTGTCTTCATCATTTGTGCAAGAAATGTTCCTCGATCGAAAATCTGCCTCGATTTCCAGGTTTGCCTTTAAGTATCCCTCGTAAATGACAACGAGAAACAGGTTTGCCGCAACAAATACATTAAACAGAAGAAAGCAAGCCAGTAGTAGCGTGGTCAACGTCGAAGTGCCTGCAGCGTCGTGGCCAACTTGTTCTAAAGACGTCGACGAGTAACCCAAAAGCGACAAAGCTCCAGTTGTACCAGTTTGAAGAAGGATCGCCAGCAATGAACGAAGTGATTCCGGTAGACTTTGAAAGAGTTGTGACTGCGCTCCTAGCACAAGAAGACACGCACTGGCGTACCCCATGGCAACCAGAGCAACCATAAACGCCAATACAATCAACTGCGGCGCTGCGCACTCCACGGCACGCACTAATAAATCCACACGTCGAGATACTCGTAACTTCAGTAACAATTCAATCCATGCCATACAGACGCTAATACCCAATGCAAGTTGAGCAGCGCGGAAGGTCTCAATATACGGCCTTAAAGATACAAACTTGTCCGAATCTAGAGGCAGCTCAGTAGGTCTTTTAACCTGGGCTAATAAACGCAACAACCACGTACAGACGTAGCAAAATAACCCAAAAAGCCTGGCAATTGTACCATGACGACGAGAGCTGAGCCTCGTTCTGCGAGTATTGGGTTTCTTCATAGCTGATTTCTGCCAGACTGCTTGATGCTGCCATTGTTGTGCTCGAGAATGTGCGAGAGCTAGAACCTCATCCAGAAAGAAATAGGCGTAAAACAGCATCACGATGATGTTGCAAACCGACATTATCCAATGATCCTCATCTAACAAGAAGCTACTCATGACAGGAGCCACACCAGCGCTAAGTGAGGCGATAGCTCCACCAGAAGCAGGGAGTTCCAGTAAGAACCGAAGCGATATGACGTGACGTAACATTGCATTATAAAGACCCAGATCCAGCATAACAGCGCGTGTTTGCTCGTCGATATACCCGTTCTTTTCGAGTGTTGCTAAAATACTGGAGGCTTGGGCTTCATTCGAGCGTGGAAGTACAATGGAATACGCAGGCGCTGGTAGGGAATATCGAGCACTGGAGACGGACATTGTTGAGAAGAAAGCAGAGCGCTCGCTGTCAGTGTCAGTGTCATTGAGTCCTTCGAATGTATAGGGGTCTCCATTAGCTGCTTGAATGGGAGCATTCGTCTCGATGTTTAATGTAAAATCGCCATCGCTTGAACCATGACAGTAAAAAGTGTCGTTATCCATGCTAAAAAATGGACTCACTCGAGACGAACAATTGAAACTGTGTACACGAAGTTGGCCGATGCGTATGCCACCAATTATGTGGTTATTCATTGTTGAATCCATGTAAGTGACGGAAAGGAATGGCCCCTTTAACCACTCAAATAAATCATCAGCACTGGTGACATCGAAGAAAGTCTTAGAAGCTCCCGATGTTGCCGAGATAAACGGAGCCTCGAGATACTGCGCTACACAATCAACATTCAGAAACAATATTTTTCAGTTAACTGATAGTATGGCACTTACAAGTTACAGCTCGTGTGAGGCGATAGAGTCGATCATGCTCGTAGCCATGAAGAATGCTGAATGTAAAAACGCTTAAGAAAACAATTTGCTGTACAATTGCATGGAGTTTTGATCGAGCATGCAGCGTACGTCGCCGATGAACGAGCTCCAGTACATGCCTTCGACACAATTTCTGAAATTTAGCAAGGCGTTGCCCACCAGCACTATTTCGTCGCCACCTGCATTATCAAAACCTGATATTAGTTACAGCGGCATTAGGGGATAATCCGTCATCTTACCATCTCTGTAAAGAGACTACAGCTGCAATACTCGAAATCTCGGTGAGTTCGTCCAAAGAATGCACCATGTCAGGAGCAGGTCGTGCTCTTCGATGTGTGGGAGTTGAGGCTGACAACCTACCCGACTGCAATCGAGTATGCCACGATTCTGCTAATTGATTGTCCAGTTTCAGCTTGATAGTGTCACGGTCAGCGGTACTGATCTTTTCCGTTTCGTCAGTATCACGCAGTGACAGCACCGATCTATCTCTCCGCCGTTGAGCGGCATCGCCATCTCTCATTCCATACACACGAAAGCACAGTACTAGGAGCGGGAACTCGTTTGAGTCTGCTGCACGAACTGAACAACATGAAACGACAGTAACCAAACCACTATCCGAATATATAACGAAGTTACTGGTCACACACTAGGTGAGCAGCATCTTCTTGATATCTATATTTCGATTACCTCACGGATAGTCGGCTGGCCTTACTAGACTTAATCCGCGGGGGACAAGAACGACGCGAGAGTGCCCAAGAACATCAGAATGATAGAGAGTCCAGCCAGACCAGCGTTGAGTGCGATCTCGCCCTTCGATAGGCGGTGAGAGAAGAGCTTGAGGTAGCAGATACACGGCAGGAACACCGACACCAGCATCGCGAAAAATGCGCCCAAAAACGACGTAACACGCGCAAAGTGCGGCACGAATAGAGCACAGCACAGAGCTCCCATACCCAGTGTAGTGCGGATAAAAGCACGGTAGAACACCAAACCCTTGCTCGGTTTATTCCTCGCAGCAGCGCGTTTCTGGCTCGGCGAAAGTAGAAATTCCTCGAATGCCAATGCCACAGGATGGAGCGTAATAGCGATCTTACTCATCGGGTTCAACGCGATCGTCCAGACTACCATTTGTGTTAAAACACCGGGGTAGGACGCGATCAGGTTGAGCGTGATCTCCTTCTGAGTAGCCACTCCATACATGAGATAACCAGCCAGTTCAATAGCGCCGTACACAATTCCCACAATAAAGTAAGAGAGGTTGAGTACACGCGGGTAGTCTTCCTTGTTCGCCATGGAGCTGCAAATGGACGGGAAGACCGAGTGGCCTCCGAATGCCACCATAGTTAGGCCAATAGCCAATGGGATCCGATCCAAGTCGCCAATCATCTGTACAGGCTGTGGGTGCAACAAACTGCCCATAGTGTAGTCCGGAGCGTTCGTGTCGATTGCAAAACCCACGTAGAAAATCGCGTAGAGGCAGAAAAATGACGATAAGATGCCCAAAATGCTGAAATACGACAACATGGACATGTGCGTCGTCCACATGGATGGCATAATGAGCAGAAATGCCATAATTGTCAACTGCGTCTCCGTAAATGACGGAATCAACGCCGCCAATGTATCTCCAACTGCAAAAATAAATAAATAAAATTAGTACCACAATAATTGCAATAATTGCAAATATCAACTCACTTAGCACGAGGAACATGGCGCAGGCAGTGAATAATTCTGCGAAGAAAGTGACGCCAATGATGACTCGGCCTCTGGTACCGAAGGCCGCTTCTCCGATGTCTGGGTATGTGGTCATTCCTTCTTGGTAGTCCAGACATTGGCCCAAAAGCTTGGCTGTATGGTTGGTTACCAGTGTGAAGAAGAGGAAGAGCGGTCCACCGATGAGCCAGCCACTGGATCGCAACGAGAAGGGACTGGAGAGCACGCCTACTCCCAATAGGACGTTGATGGCGTTGAAGACCGCGTCCTTGAAGCTACTAGTGCCCTGGGGAGTGGCGGCGCCGGCGCTGCTACCTGGAGACCAGGACACGTCTCTCTGTTGCTGTAAGAGCCTATGTCTCTCGGTGTACGGGCTGCTGTTGAAGGAACTGACGCGGCGAGGCGTCAATGACATCGCCACGGGTGATGCCATGCTAGAATCACGGATTTAAAGGTTAGTCTGGGAAATAGATGAGTTAACCGCATTATAACTATGCTTTGGAGGTGCGTACCGAGCGTCGAGACCCTCTTCGAACGTAGTAGGCCATGCCGGCGCCGTCTCTTGGCCGAGAACTCGCGCGCGAGCTACAGACGGAGAGTAGGAAGGCAGCAGAGACTGGTGTTCTCCAGTACTTGCGGAGCCCATGGCGGATTAACTCAATGAGCTTCAGGTGGGCTGGAGCGGCTAATCGGAGAATGATTTCGGTCAAGTACGTGGTCGATCAGAGCCGGTCTCAGCAATTGAGGGCGACAGAAATAGGGGTGATGGGGCTCTGTGATTGGGTGGCCAAGGGTCATTCTGGACGGCGATTGGTCAATATCACTTCAACTCTGCTTGGACGCCGGAAGAGGTTCCTGTTGAGACGCTGCTTGATGCACACGCCTTTAGCGAGTGGCCTGGAGGCTACATCGGCGAGGCATCAAGGGCGCGTTTCTCCGCCACAATGTAAGGTGCATCCGCTCTCGACTATCATGGCGCAGGGAAAGTGACCGCGTACGGGTCAAGCTGCTGTTTGATAATAAGTGTGAGTATCGCACAATCAGCTTTATACAGCACTGCAAAGCGCGACCGTGGATTGAGAAGCTTGTGATGTATGCATTGGCTTGTTGCGCCTAACAGGCTTCGTCGCCGTGGACTCGGTGGAATGGCGTGCACGTTTCTTGGCTGTTTCGATTTGTCCATCACTACTGCGCACCAGCGGAGCGCCAATTGCTTTTTATCAACCCCGTCAGAGAAACCGCAAGCTTTTTAGTGAAGCAATGATTTTTAGCTTGGACTTAAGCGTAATCTACTGCTCTTCCTGGCTAAGAAGGGTAGCGTGTGGCTGGACGATGTTAGCGCAGCAGCTGTGACGCTCGATGAGCACGGAAATTTGCAAGGTTTCGAGGAGATGCACCCTCTGCTATTTATCAAGAACGACAGGTACTTCGGAGAGGAGTTTCGACCGGGTGACGGCCAAGTTCATGTCTAGTGGTGGTTCCAATCGCTTACTCCGAGTGGAGTATTTGTCTGCGTAAAAATACCGTTGAAGTTATTCGAGGAACCGCACGTAAAACCCGAGATTCTACGGAAGTGGCATGCTGATGAGAATCCACGATGGCTCGAGTCATTTTGACAGCCTAACGATGCCGTTCATATTACTAACCTAAAGGCCGCTGAGGCTTGCGATGCCTTTTACGTGGTATGCGGGGGCCAGGGCGATTTAAACGAACAGGCGTATGCTTTTTTGAAAATCGAAGCGTAACTTTGAAGATGTGCCTCGTAAAAGACGATACATGTAACAAACTGGACAAAGGATATGTTGGCGAGTTCAATAGCACGGGGAGTCTGATGTTATACAGCTTTATCTATGCAGCACTTTGCGGCAATGGCAAATTTTACGCCGACGAAAAAACGCGAGTGGCCGTCAATACAGTTCTCAGGAAGCGCTGCAAGAACCAGATGAATCCTTTTGTTGTTTTCCTTGACAATTTCCCTTGTTGGATGATTTGAAAGCTAGAGATAAAGAGAAAAAAAATGGCTATGAATGTTCCGATCCTGTCAGGTTCCGGTTGTGGCCAGTGCCAGGCAGCTCTCCAGATCTCCAACCACACATGAGCTCAATAGCTCGAGCTTGAGGCACTGCAAAGCGATGCTGGTAAACTGATTTGGTGGATTCTTACGCGTGCTCGGTTCGAAGAAACAGGTTCGCACCGAAAAATTCGTGATGCTATCCGGCGTGGGCCTAACAACATCTCACAATGGATTCAGGAAAGCCGTTTTAATAGAGTTTGAAGAACAGATCGATTGATACTTCTTTCAAGATTAAAGAATGAAAACGCGAGAACAAATGTCTGAGGATGAAAAAAACGTGTGAAAAATAATTGCTTGTAAGATTTGAGAAGTCGAAGAAAAGGAAAGACTTTTTGAATCTCAAATACCTACGCTAAGTTCACTCTCCGCCAGGACACATAGCGTGCCGAGTGACTTCCATCCGATCTGACCGCCGATTCATTACCACTGCAAATGGATCAGCTCAGAACCTTCGCTTTCTCCAAAAACACACCGACAACGCGAAAAATCCGTCAGCTTGAACACAACTGTAACTCGATTTGGTGTGCGAGGGATGTTCTCAAGTCCACCCGTTTTCGTTCCTCGGATGTCAACAACGACGAAATCGGTCACTGGGAGTGTACTAGTATTCATCTCTGTAGTGCTCAATCGAGCCTCGACTATATCGGTCTCCTCCCCATTCAGACGCACATCAATCCCCCAGCAAAGATCAGCACCAACATAAAAATCAAACTCGTCCCCTATACGATGAGTGGCATGTGGGAATGTTGGCGAAATATCTGGACAGATCGGGCAGCTCGGGAGTGTCCACAGCGCAATGCCAGTCATGACTTGAGCCAGAAATGAGTTTGTTGTGAGCGGAAACTCGTAAGTTGGAGTGATCGTGCGCTCAATAAAAGACATCGACATGCTCCCAATCACCTTCCTAATGAGACCATGTAGTGAGGATGGGTTCTCGACCCCACGGTTCGGGAATATCTCTTTTGTGTAGTATCTTTCAGCCAGGCGACAGGTGAATTCAATATTGCTGTTCTCGGAGCCCGTGAGAATACCTGCCGCCTTTAAGCTTGTAAAGCATTCCTTGTCCTCGCCACTCCACTCAGGTCCACAGTCTAAACCACCTGTCAGATATTTGCTCAAGAAGCTTTTAAGTTTTGGAGTTGGCTGCATGTGCCACCCAGAGAAACAAGGGATATATTTTGGCAATTGATCCGACTTGTAGAATGATATAACATCTTCCACACTTTTTTTAAAACCACGGCGACTGACTCGACAAAGCTCCTTAACCACTGTCGTCAACGCACCAACGTGTCCATTGCACTCCCGAAAGATCAGATCTCGCAGCTCTGGGGATTCCAGCTGTTTTGGTACACGGTTATCGTTTTCGATTCCAGGATAATAAAACAAACCAATTGCTTCCTCGTTCCCCAACAGAAAGTCATCTCGGGTGAATTTGCAAGATAACCTGTCAATTTCTTTTGGTCTGTCATGAATATCTTTCGCGAGTATATGTATCGCCGAGATGACAAAGCGTACATTCGCCGGTAGCCACTGATCAGAGCCCTCAATAAGAGAATTCCAAAATGATTTATCTTCAAATTTGCTTTGAGCATCGTCCAGCATGAACACTACAAGCTGATCTTTGCCCACATCTTGTGGCAGTTGACATGACTTCTGTAATACATCGAGACCATGAGTAGCAACGAGCTCGTTGACGATCACGTCGGGAGTGTAGAATGAGATCGGGATGCAGTGAACGGCAGTGTACCGAAGAATAAACAAATTCATCACCGTTGTCTTCCCATATTCCGAAGGAGCGGACAAAAGTACGAAACGGGAGGATTGAATAGCATTGTGGAGCTTCTCAACCAGAGCAGTGCGGGGAAGTGTCGGCAACTGAGTGTAACCTCTTGGAATTTGTTCAAACAGTAAAAGGTACGGCGGTGGTGCTTGCCCTGACATCCTTTCTCGAGTCGACAAAACGAAGAGTAGTCAACGTTTTGCCGACTCGAGAAAGAATGTGAAAAGCTGAGAACTTACGAAGAATAATCAACTCAAGTCTCTCAGGTTTTAGCTGAGGGCAGACCATTTAAATAATTTCACGTTGATTTGTTTTATTTGTGAATATTACGGTGAACGATGTACGGTCGACTTGAAAGACAATACTTGATTTAGGTTTTAAGGTTCTTGTCGTTAAGCCCGACCAATTAGTCGCCTTGCATCTTTGCGCCTCTGATCACTGCTTCCTCACAACTGAACGTGTACTTGGCAAGAGGGTTCGAGGATAATGCGTGGCAACAGAATACAAGTTTCGAGCTTCACTTTTCTACAACCGCCATATTGCGAAAGACATGATAATTTATCATTGATGAACGGCTCGACTCGCAGCGGTTGGTGAGTTTGGATTTCCAGGCTACAACAGCGGGGTATCGTGACAAACATCTTCTCATCAATATCTAGAAACAAAAAGGTTCGAAGGTGCATTCTGTATTTGGCACTTTCGTCTGATTCTGTATTGATAATATTGAAAATTATGGTGTGCTTGTAGACGCAAGCTCATGGGTGAACACAGTGGTGCTTTCTCATTTCTCAGTTTGAGTCAGCTGATTGATTGATGACATCCTTGCTATCTTTTCAGCGATTTTTCGAAAAGTTTTCGTAAGATTTTGGTTAACAAGACTAGGTTAAACTATGTATTGCGAATTGCATCATAACGACAAGCTGGCGAATGTTGGTTTACTTGGTAGCCGCAACACTGTGGCGTGAGGCGACGGAATCTTTGCCCTGGAGGTCGAACTCGTCGTTGGTGGTGCTGCTGGACATGCCAAAGTTCATCTTCTTCATGGTGAAGTAGAAGGCGAAGAAGTTGACGACACTGACAGCTCCCACAGTGAAGAACATGTACTCGAGATTGCCGTCGTTCAGGTCGTCCGACGGGAGGTAGGGCGAGAACATGATCGTGAAGACCGAGGTCATGACACTTCCCACGGAAATCATGAAGAGGTTCACACTCTGCGACGTACTCTTAAGACCGAGAGGCACCACGGAGTAGAACACATCGTACGCTGTCACGTTGATCAGACACTCAGCCAGGGCGATGAAGACGTAGTTAGGGATAGCAGCAGCCCACGAGATATCGTTCATGGGCTGGTCGCTACCGCCGTCAAGGATCGGATCACCGTTAGCGTCTTGTAAGGGGCCAGCGTTACGACGAATAATCTCGAAGATACCGGACCAGAAGATGCCAACAGCAGCGACGATGAGACCAGCGCACACGCGGCCGAATTGGCTGGGCGGCTTACCGAAGCGCTTCTCGTAGAACGGGTACACAATAGAGTCCAGAATAGGGATACAGATCACGATAAAGATCGGGTCGAACACACCAAGCATGGCGCCAGGGATCTGGGAGCTGTCCGGGTCGCTACGGTCCAGACGCAGGTCGCACTGCTGCGTAATAGACTGGAAGTTGGCGTCCGTCTGGTCGTACGCACACTGCCAGATGATGGTGTAGGCAGCGAAGGGCAGAGCGCTCACCAGCTTCTTGTAGCCGTCGACTTGAGTATCGTCGAAATGGCCGCCCTGACTCTCCTTCATGCTGTCCATGAAGGACTGGTCGTGAGCAGCATACACCCAGCAGACCACACCAACCAGCACCATAGCAGCAGCGACGTAAGACAGCGCTTCACCCGCGCGTCCACTGTCCGCACTGAACGCTGAGGCGATATTTACGACCAGAGAGAAGAGCAGTAGAAGTGCACCAGTGACCACAATGGCTCCGTCACGAGACGTATGTGCGCTCTCCTTGAGCAGGAGCAACAGCGTCGAGATGGAGCGGTCTTTAGGAGGCATGTGCACGTAGCGAGGCGAGCCAACAATGAAGAAGAAGATGGCGACGACCATCACTACTGCACAGATCATGTACGTAGCGAAGTAGCCATACTCAGCCGGGATCTGAGCCGAGCCCTCTACGCACAGTACAGACAGGTATCCGTACGAGAAGGCGGCGCCGAAGTTAATGCAAAAGTAGAAGTACGAGAAGTACGTCTCCTTCTGGTGTACCTCACTGGGGTCGTTCGGGTCGAACTGGTCGGCACCGAACGTGATGACATTCGACTTGATAGCACCAGTACCGACACCAATACCGACAAATAATCCGATAACGAAGATCGGATTAACGATGGCCTTCTCAGTCATGATGTCTGGGTGGGCGGCGATGGCCACCAGGAAGTCACCGATGCAGTACCAGATACCGAAGATGAGGATCGTACGGTAACGTCCCCATTTTTCGTCGGCCAGATAGGCGCCGAACAATGGCGTGATGTAGCAGATGGACGTCCAGGTACTTTTCAGTGCACTGGCTGATACGAGGCTCCAGCCGATCTTCTGCATGAAGTTCTTGAGGCCTTGGTTGATACCGTAGTAGCTCAGACGCTCGGACAGCTCCATCATGAGGATGAAGGCGCATACTTGGAACAGCACGCTCTTGTATTTGCGTGGACGCGCATCCCAGATGCTCCCGTAGGCAGCAGTGGGCGAGTCGAGGGCCGGCGACTTGATCTTCGACGTTGACATCGCGGACGAAATTGGGAAGTGAGGTCTCGGTCCTCTGCAGAGCTCAACGAAGGTAGGAGTGAGTGGAGGGATGGGGGGCAACGCTTGCACCTTCCTTGACGCGCCCCAGTCTACACTTGAGCACGCACACACGAGGAGAACGCATCCCCCGTGTCTGTTTTGCTCACGTCTGTGAGACGAAGAACCTGCACATGTATCTCGATCGTGACACGCTGGGCGACTCCATGGAATCGCCTCAAGACGGCGCTGCAGGCTACAAGTACAGCGCAGTCTAGTAAGCAAATTAGAGTTGTCTACAATGTAGACTGCGCTGCAGGTTGGAAACCACGTCAAGGTCTTGTTAACCAGCCTGTTGCTTGACAACCGCTTGAGCGGGATTACAAACGCTAGGGCTTTCGAGTCCCCACCGTCGCTGAACAGCGGCAATGAACACAAAACCACGCGTTTTTTTTTAATCGCGTGGGCCATGCACGTTTTTGATTAAAGACGACCGGGCCATGCACGTCTCGAAGATGACGCGATGAACTTGTTGGCCTGGATTGGACCAGCGAGTTTATTTGACAACCGCATGAGCGTTGCAGTGACTTTGGCTGACACTTCCCCAGCCGAAGCCTCGCCAACCGCTACGCAAAGGACAGCAGTGGCATTGCTGCACATTCTGGCAAGAGGGTGTCAAAGAGACTTGAAGAGAGGCTTGCTGATCTCGTACTAATGAGATTAAAGAAGTGGTGCCGAGTCCATTCGTCCACAGGCGTGGCACGGGGATGAGATCTCGCTGAGTGAGTGCAGAGGCAGATGGGCGTGAGCGCGGTCATGCAGCAATGCGCTCCGGATATCTAGGCGGATGGGCCCTATCATGGGGCCACACTTGGCTGCGCCGGACTGGCTGCTCTTGATGCAGAGTGAGCTCCTAACTGCAGCGTTCACGGCGACCTATTCGTGGCGCTTGTCAAACAATGTCTTCCCTTCTGATTAAATTGTCTGCACCATCGGAATGGCCTTCTACCGCCGAGCATGTCAAAAATGCTGTAGATACTTTGACATGATGGATGATGAGGTAAAAACTACCATCTGCATGTTACTGGATTGTTTTACTGGAAAAGCTTGCTAAGCGTTCCACTTTACTTTACTCTACACTGCA